ACGTACAACATTAGCAAAATACCAATCGAACTCTCCACGTGCAATCCACGAACAATGCAATCTTATTACAAAGGCATTGTTTCCGAAATCCCGAACGTAATCAATTTGTAGCTCGCATAAAATCTCCAATTTCGTTCGAAATCCTTCAGCGAAATCCGCAGAAATGATACCGCTGATTATATTTTGAATTGTAGTCGAACAAACGCTATTTCTACGGTCCATATTCGTCTGATCGCAACCAAAAGGATGGATGATCGATTTAATATTAGCGAAATATTAGTGGCTACGTGACCAGCTTAGTCCGCTTCAGATAAATTTTGTTTTTTTTTTTTTAACTTTTAGCATATCAAAACGCGAAATACCGGGCTTGTTTTTTGTTTTCAGAAAAAAAATTTTATGCGATTGTACAAAAAGCATTTTTTGAAATTCTTCCATTTTGTGTATTAAATCGATTTTCGCAAAGATGGTGAGTTGTAGTAGAAACTATTTTATACAAAAATTGTTGTCAACAGTATTTTTTACAAATTATCTTTTTGGGTTACATAGTACTCATGTGCGTAGGCGAATACTGCAAATCCTACGGTTATAAATGTTGGGTACTTGTGTGAAGTTAGCGCCCGGCGCTGGCGCCCAAATTCAGCGCTCTACCCCCTCCTCCTAACTAAGTTCACACAACTAAAATTAATTATTGCATTTATTTATAATGTTTCTAAATTTATAGGAAAGTAATGTTTATGATTCGATTTTTGATCAAACGGTGTGGTTTGTAAAGTTTCTATTAGAAAGAGGTATAGTTCAAAATTTGCCGTATGACAGCAAATATTGGAAAAAAGGTACCCTTTCAGATCTGAGTTTACCAAAAAATTATATGTCTAAAACCACTGGCGTCTTCTCAAAAAAACACCCTTTATAAAAAGAGGATTACTTAAAAAAAACAAGAGGAGTGACAGATTACGACGAGTAGATATATTAATTATTTCGTAAGGTCTCATGCAATAAAAGTTTAAATATTTTAAACCCCTGGCGTCTTATAGAAAAACCACCCTTTATAAAATAATATTAAATTTTTTTAAACCATGAGGCATGACAGATTACGATTGGTGGATATAAGAAAAAGCTTATGGGGTCTCCTTACAGTAAAAAACTGAATGTTCTTAACCCCTGGTGTTTTATAGAAAAACCACCCTTTATAAAAATATAAATTATTTTTTTTTTAAATATGTCTCGTGACAAATTACGATTAGTGGATGTAAGAATAACCATATAAGGTCACTTTACAATAAAAAACTGAATGTCCTAAACCCCTGGCGTCTTATAGAAAAACCACCCTTTATAAAAATATAAATTATTTTTTTTAAACTATGTTTCGTGACAGATTACGATTAGTGGAAGTAAGAAGAACCATATAAGGTCACTTTACAGTAAAAAACTGAATGTCCTTAACCCCTGGGGTCTTATGGAAAAACCACCCTTTATAAAAATATAAATTATTTTTTTTTAAACTATGTCTCGTGACAGATTACGACTAGTGGTTGTAAGAAGAACCATATAATGTCACTTTACAGTAAAAAACTGAATGTGATAAACCCCTGGCGTCTTATAGAAAAACCACCCTTTATAAAAATATAAATTATTTTTTTTTGAAAAACTATGTCTCGTGACAGATTACGATTAGTGGATGTGAGAAGGTCCTTATAAGGTCACCTTACAGTAAAAAACTGAATGTCCTAAACCCCTGGCGTCTTATAGAAAAACCACCCTTTATAAAAATATGAATTATTTTTTATTTTTTTAAAACTATGTCTCGTGACAGATTACGATTAGTGGATGTAAAAGAACCATATAATGACACTTTACAGTAAAAAACTAAATGTCCTAAACCCCTGGCGTCTTATAGAAAAACCACCCCTTATAAAAATATGAATTATTTTTTTTTTTTTTTAAACTATGTCTCGTGACAGATTACGATTAGTGGATGTAAGAAGAACCATATAATGACACCTTACAGTAAAAAACTGATTGTCCTAAACCCCTGGCGTCTTATAGAAAAACCACCCTTTATAAAAATATAAATTATTTTTTTTTTGAAAAACTATGTCTCGTGACAGATTACGATTAGTGGATGTAAGAAGTTCCTTATAAGGTCACCTTACAGTAAAAAACTGAATGTCCTAAACCCCTGGCGTCTTATAGAAAAACCACCCTTTATAAAAATATAAAGTATTTTTTTTAACTATGTTTAGTGACAGAATACGATTAGTGGAAGTAAGTAGAACCATATAAGGTCACTTTACAGTAAAAAACTGAATGTCCTTAATCCCTGGCGTCTTATAGAAAAACCACCCTTAATAAAAATATAAATTATTTTTTTAAACTATGTCTCGTGACAGATTACGATTAGTGGATGTAAGAAGGTCCTCATAAGGTCACCTTACAGTAAAAAACTTCACAGGAGCATCCCTTGTTAAGATACAGCCCCTTAAAGGGGGTACATAAAATATGTTTAACAATTTTGTTCACAAGCACTAAACCAGTTACAATATTGAAATTAACCTGTCATTTTCTACTACCAAAAAGACACTTAGTCAGTAATTTATTTGGTTTACCCCATGGTTGTAAGGGGTGGAAAACGCAACCCCTAAAATTTCGCTCCAACGTAACTTTTTGTCTTATTATTTGTTTACCATTTACCATAGCCTGTTTTATTCTAAACAAAAAATGTCTCTTGAATTTTTTTGCCCAAAATAAACCAGTTCGCAGCAAAAAATTATTTTACGAACAACTACAGAGATACATCGTCATAAATGCGAACTGGATTTATTGTTATTTTGTAGTAACTACCTGCATTAAATGATTAAAAAGGGGAATAATCAAAACTAATTTATTAATAACAAAACATACAACATGTAGAAATCATAGTAAATGTTCAATATGTCTACTTTCAGACATTACGCATGCGTCTAGACGTCGGCGCATTGAGCCACGTATTCGCTCAAATAATCCTGGAGTCTCTCTAATTACCCTGCACGCATCGATGATGCGGTTTCTTAAGTCCTCTACATCGCGAACAGGAGTACGATAAACCAAATGCTGCAAATGGCCCCAAGTAGAGAAATCGAGAGGATTAAGATCCGGAGATCGAGCGGGCCAATTCTGTGGTCCTCCTCGACCTATCAACTGATTTGCATATATTTCAGTTAAATGCTGACGTGCTACTTGACTAAAATGGGCGGGAGCCCCATCATCCATAAAAAACATATCCCTTCTGACGCCCAAAGGAACTTCCTCTAGCAGTACGGGATGCACTTCTCTTAAAAATTGAACGTATGCCTCACCAGTTGAGTTTTTCCTCAAGTACCGAACAAAAATAAATTAAGAATAATATAATAAATGTAAGTATAAGACATAAGATATGAATTTTTTCTTATTAATTTCTTAATCAATATCTCAATTACTTGATATAGATTACTGTTATTAAAATTAATAATGACAATATGTATTTACTTAATAAAAAAAAATAAATTCTTAGATACTAAAATTTTATCTTAAATTTATAAGTATTTTGAGAATTAAATAAAATTATTAAATAGACAATTAATTTTTTCAATTGCTTTTAATTCTTGATACGATAGATAAACAAATTTACTTTTATTTTCAAATTCAAGTGATTTATAGAAAATTAGTTGCTCTGTTCACCTTAAAAATGGATATTAAATTTGCAATTGCGCTGCTGTTTTGTCTATTCGCTAAATCGAGTAAGTTTTTATTTAATATTTTATAAATATCGATTAATATTTTCTATTTACAATGTTATAAAATTATGTAGTACAAATTATTATACTAATATTGTTACTAATTTTATAACTAAAAACGTTTAGGTATTATCTGTAAATATATATTTTCTAAATATTTCAAAAATTGCCTAATAAAAGAAAGATTAAGAAAAATATAATAGAAATAGTATCACGTTGTTTAAAATAAAATGTCACATTGTACGTGTTTGATAAAATATGTTACATTTAATCAATTTACGAGATGATAAATAATTATATCACTTAGGTCCTCAATCATGTAATGACTCTATTGCTTTGAACTTGGCTTCGTAGCCCTTATCTGTATAATGGATCTACTCTTGATACAAGAACCTAACACGTCTCTGTAAAAGGGCTGAAGAAAACACAATGTTCTCAAAGCGAATGTAATATTCTGCATCTGTAACGTGTAAAGGGTAAGTTACATCACGGGACTTACGCCTCACTAGATCCATAGTGTGTCCTTCTAAGATAATAGGCACCTTCTAGCTCACGAGCCAGCTTACAGATTTAATGTAGTTGACGTCTCCAAGACGTAATTCTTTTATATCGGCCAGTGTTAGTCGTGTACCGTGTACCTCCTTCAGAGTGCGGATTCTGACAAACCAATAATATGGAGATGATTCCGTACTTGGCAATTATCAGTCAGAACGCCTGTGACCAAACGCAGATTCTGTCAAGTCATAGTCAAGTATTTGTTTTCTGTAGTGTTGTCAGGACAACCTAAAAGTTCCCAGGCAACTCTGTAGTTTCTTCTTTCATCCCATTTTTCCTTAAATTTCACAAGGGGATGTTCTTTAATTAGGTCTGTCACTGACGATTTTGTGTTGGTCAGCAAGATGTGGCGTGACCTTTTATCTATAATAAGGTTACATAGTAGATAAATACTTAGGCCAAAGCCTCGTGACATTCTAGTACTGAACCTGAGCAAAATCGTGGTCTCTTCGGTTAAGTAGTGCTTGTCTACTATCTGTATAGATGAGTTTCTTCCAGTGATATTGTTTGTGGTGATTCTTTTGCTGCTATAAGAATTCCCGTGAGCTCTGTTTAAACTACACTGGCACTACTGCTCACAGACCATTTTATGTGTAGGTTTAACGACCTGGAATATATTTCACACCCTAAGCCTTCTTTTATTTTAGAACTTAAATCTATATATTAAATGAAAATAATTAATTTTACACTAGTAGGTAGCTTTATGTGCTACAACATAATCCTATAGCTGTGGTTCAACAACGCAGGTAAACAGACGCGATGCTGCCAATCCCCGCTCCGTACCACACCGCTCAGTCTGAGCCTATCGCTCGTGGAATGTACAAGTGAGACTCGTGCGCCAGCGCAACTTTGAAGTGTACCTAGTTTTTTTAAATACACGTCTTATATATCCCCAAAAAAAATGGAAGCATCAAGTTCAGGTATGTAACTTATTATTGGAAACATAAATACATATATTAATAGCTGTTTGGATGGATAAAACTGTGAGTAAATGATGGCGTGAAAAAGGGAGTCAGAATTAAAAACATGACAAAACTACTAGAGAATTAGTTATGTTCCGTGGATGGCCAGGCTTACTTTCAGATTATTTTTAGCACTAGTAACTATTACAGTTTACGACTGTATTTCATTTTTTTGCCCATGTTTGCCCGAATTAATATAAATACCAATATAAACGAGTTAGGTCGCTGTACTAGAAATAAATCGTTCCTATTAATAAATATTTGTTATTACTTTTTACACAGGTTTGGACTCCGATGCCTTATTTTTGACACGACGTGAGTTGTTTATGATAATAAAGAACTCTGGTCATAAGAAACTTGAATATCAGATAGACTCGCTTTAAAAGAAAATTGGAAAAAGGACGGGATGTGTCAGTGACTTTCGGACAGCTATTTCGCAAACGATAAATCGTTTTAAAGTCACGATGGGAAGCAGCGCACCGCATGGAAAGTAGATTTTGCGAAAAAAATAACACGAGGCTACATTCGTCACTTGCCTTTCCTACACTTAAAAAAAGCACTTCCGGTCGTCCAGCAATACCATTTGAGGAGAGCACAGATAACAGAGAGGATAAACCGACAAAGGACTCAAGAATTGAGAAAATCTACACCTCTACCTGAGCTCGTTTATGCCACACAAATGAAAATAAAAGCTTCGAGACAGAGCGTGGCCTCCAAAATAATTAAAGATATTTTATCGGATCTATCAAAACCCAGTAAATATTTAAAAGCCTATCAACAGTCACTTAAGACAGACGATGATGTCAGGAGAGGATGCTGTAGCACTTCTAGTGGAAGCTGATTTGTCTCATCATCAGTACAACATATTGAGATCAAAATCTCCAAAAATCTATACGTCTCATAAAATCGTACAGGGCGCAAAAAAACAATGTTACCCGGAGCCTAATAAAATCAGTGTAAAACCTCTGTACACGTTGATTTGCAGACAATGCTTGATCTTACCACAAAACGTTTGGCCTTGGTTTAGAGAGAAGTGTTTCATACACTGAACAGTGAAGAGTTAGAAAATATGTGTTTATTTTCAAAATGGGGATTTGATGGCAGCAGCTCTTACAGCTCTTATAACCAAGCTTTTTATGGTTCCGAAGCCAGTGATGCAGCTGTTTTCATAACATTCTTTGTACCCCTACGTTTAATATCTGGGTCTAAGGTAATTTGGCAAAATCCTAGACCAAGTTCTACGAGGTAGTGCATACCTTTAAAAATAGAATTTGTTAATAAAAGCACCAGTTTCCGTCGAAGAAAAAAAAAAAAGGATACACTAACAAGTAAAAAATCTTCAACTCACTATCGTACAACTTGATGGGCAGAGTATGAAAATTAATCATAGCTTAATTTACGCGATGATTAATGGCAAAATGTGCAATGCGCTCACAAACACAACTTTAACACAGAAGTACTACATATGTGGAGCAACAATCAAAAACTTCAATGATATAGCCAAAATGCTTTCTAGGCCTATCAAAACAGAAAATTTGGGATTCGGCATTTTGGTCTTGCACGGATGGATACGTTTCTTTGAATGTCTCTTGTATCTGGCATACAGATTTCCCATAAAGAAAAAACAGCCTCGGAAAAACAAGAAAAACGTAGCAGAAGTATCGGATAAAGAAATAGTTGAATAAACCAAGAGAAAAATTCGGAATGAGTTTAGGAAAAAGGCTAGGCTTGACAGTGGACAAACTCAAATCAGGATTTAGAAATTCCAGTAATGGCAACACAGCAAGGCGATTTTTTAAAAATGCCTCTGTTTCTGCAGAAATCACAAACCTGCATTTACAATTAATACAGAAAATGCACAATATATTAATTGCCACAGCATCTGGCGTGGAAAAATTCCACACGTATGCAACTGATACTGCTAAATACTTTGTGCAAAAGTACCCATGGTAAGATATGCCACCCACTGTTCACAAAATTTTTATTCAGAGGCCAGAAATAATAAAGACTGCGCTTTTGTCGATAGGTCAGTTAATGAAAGAAGCCCAAGAAGCCCGAAACAAGGACTTCAAAAAATTCAGGGAACATCACACTCGAAAATGCAGTCGCGAGAAATCTAACATTGATATTTTTAACCTCTTGCTGTTGTCATCAGACCCTGTGATAACAAGTAAAAGGAAACTGCCAAAAAAAGTTTAACTTTCCTTTCCAAAGAAGTTCTAAATCTTCTGATACCTTCATAAATACAGCCAAGTGAAGATTCCACGGGTGATGATAATCAAATTGATTCTGAATATGAATAGGATACTGATTGTAGCGTTGAAAATAATTAAGGTAGTTGAAGGGTGTAATACACATATAAAGATCATGCTTTTTTATAGATACCTATTTAATATTATGTAAATAAAGTTGCGGCGCAATAATTTTTTTTATTGTGATTTTGTCGCGCAAATATGTGCGTTGGGTTGGTGTATCTATTGCAATCCATTTTCGTGCGTCGTGCGTAGCATTTATTTGTGATTGAAATAATAGTACAAAATAAAAAAATATTCAAGTTCACATTAAAACAAGCACTTAAGGGTCGTTCGACGCAAATCTCTTTGAAGTTCGCAGAAGAACCTGGTGCAAATATTTGCGTGTTCCTTTGTGCGGCGCACAGTCCACATCTAGAAATATTTTGACAAACACGAGCAAATTTGTGTCAAATACAATGCACAACGTAAATATTTATTGATCTGGATCCGGCTTTATATATCATTATAAATTAACAACACATTTTAATAATCTTGACCCACTGTGCGTCGGTGTTGATATGAATCGTACCTGCTACTTTTAGCTCTTCTATTTGTTCTGTTATAACTTTATATGGGATATGGAAGATATATATCGGTAAGATAAAATCCATGTGCGCTTGAAGCAGTGGGAGCGTTTCGAGCGCCTTCTGCCAAAAGCTACGTCTCGCTTCACCAGATCCTACATCAGCAGTGGGATTCTCATCTTTCGTACTCGGGATATCCCGAGAAGCTCACTATTCGCTAGAAAATAATCGAATCTTATGTTAAATGGAGTTGGGTATCGATCTAGACGTGAAAATAGGGCTGCCTTCGCGTTGGCGTTTTATGTTTCTTGGTTGTTGTTATGTCATTAAATGGTGTTTTTGGTTAGAAAATGTTTCGTTTGAAATATTTTATTTAATAATATTAAGCTAATGTATAAAATTTTTGTTATCTCTATTAAATTAGACGTTTAGTAGAATACATATTGTTATTTTAAAATACAGTAAAATGAGTGGAAGACACTTGTGTGCCTCAAAACCGTGGCCTCAATGCAATCCTTGTATAATTATTTCATGAAAAAAATGGCATTCTGTTACATTTCATCGATTTCCTAAAACCGGTAGATGTAAGGTAATTTTGTAATATAAAAATGGAAAATCTGAACTTGTGGATGCAAGAAGAGTATGCTTCAAAACTTAAAAATAGGGAAGTAAAATTTATGAAAGGAAAGTTTGTTCTCAGCATTTTAAAGATTTATAGGTACTTATAAAGGTAATACCTAGGTATATTTTTCATTTAATGTTTAATTTTTTTTTATGTTGCAGCTGCCACATCTCAAATAAACAGAAACTCTCCTTTAAAACTGCCAATTGTTAAGGAACATTCTTATGACTCTGTTCCATCTACTTCAAAATCTAACAAAGACTAATAAAAATAACTTAAAATTAAAAAAATTCCCAATCAGTTTGAATGTAATAATTAGAACAAACAATAAGGGTTAGTTAATGAAAGTGATTTGTTTCAAGATAAACTAGTAACTCCTCCTGAACAAGACATAGAAGATGCAAATTAATATTTTGCAGTTAATAAAAAGTGTTGACAGTAGTTAGTGTACAAGTGAAAATAGTAAAAAGTAAAGTTTTACCATGTGTTGATTTATTAGAGTTTAAAAATTAAAATAGTGTAAAATTTACATTAACCATCACTTTTGGAAACTTGATTTATAATATATCTAAACCTACCAGAGTAACCAAAATTTCAAAAACATTGCTTAATGTTATATTTTTAAAAACGGTCTGGTTATCATGCTGGTAATATAGAGATCTCATACCTCTGCTGATCACTGCTTTTTTGTAAATTTGCTGAACAAGAAACTGATCACAAAAATGGGCCATGTTCATATGTGAGATATTTTTAAGAGTGAGATTATAGGCCTTTTGACTGACCTTTAAGTGCACTCTTAGCGGTAACCACGGGTTATATAGAGGGGCCCAATTTGTATTTAAATTGCCTCTAGACAACACACGGCTAGGGGGTTAAGTTCAGAAGGAACCCTAACTTCCTGACGATGATTCAGAGGACGGGGAAAGGGTTTGTCCTACAGGAACTATTCCCTTTGGCAGTTTTCTCTCTCTCTCTCTCTCTCTCTCTCTCTCTCTCTCTCTCTCTCAGAGATTGGATTAAGCCAATACCCCCGCCTTTGAATGATCGTAAGTTTTCATAAACCAAAGAAAATTAAAACAAGCGTAAAACAAATAACTGTGATTTATTTAACAAATAAAAACAACTAATATTACTTCTGCAATCACATAGTCTTTACTGACTACACAAAAACTAAATATAACTACTTAAAATTATTTACTTACATAAGCATTATGTTCTATCTGTTAGGCTGCAAGGCCGGCTGGTTGCACAGTAAACGGAATAATTACACATGAATATAAAGTATTTTGCACTGTTTCTCCCACATTTGAAGTAAATAATGCTGAGGTAGATAACAAGTTGAATTTGATAATGAATTTTTAGAGAAACGTTTAATTTGTTCAACTACATTATTGTTAGGGCTTGTATATATTTTTTATTATATGTAAATAAAGTGTTTGTTACTTCGTTTATCTTATTCAGGTACATTTATTGTTTAATAATAGGTTAATAAATAAAATTTTTATAGATTTTACATTT